CGGCATGCCGGGAGTCGTAGTCTCGCAGGGGATAGCTGGGGTGCGGGGGCTGCACCCCTGCGTGGGGTGAGGAGATTTCCACGCCGGTGGCGTGTCGTTTCCTCACGGACAGCCCAGTGTCTACCTCAGGACCTGTCAGGTCACCACAGGCTTCTCCTGAGACTCCCCGAGTTGTCTCCTAGAAACACAGCACGTGGGAATTTAAAGGAAATTAAAGGGCATGAAATTGCAGTTGGAAGCAATTCAACAGCAATCAGGACAGATCAAAATCAAATCACACAGAATAACACAAAAAAGTACTCCCATCCTTGTGGCACGCCCAGAAAATTCAGGTTTGGGATTGTTTCAGCCAGGTTTGGCCTATTTACGAGGGGTGGAATACAAAAGGACAGCCTGTTTCAAGGGAGAGGTAATCCCAGCCACAAACCCTGGGGAAAACCACGACTCTGCCAGCAACTCAAGCGCCTCAACAGTTGACGGCTGGACTCAGTGATCGTACAGGTCTTTTCCAACTGAAATGATGCCATGGTTCTGTAACATACAATTCAGGGTAGAGAAGCGTCAGAGATGCACATCGATACACCCGCGTGTTAAACCGTTACGTTAAACCATTTCCACCGATCTGCAGACGCACACAGCAGCTGACAAAGATGCGTGCAGGGGAGGAGGAGTTACCAGTGGCACCTTACATGGCTTGTTTGGGGCCTTACAGTTCTGATCCTCGTAAAGTAAACACACCACAACAGCATCTAAGCAATGGTAGGGACGTCAAGAGCAGAGAAAGCACGTCAGTCACAAACGGAGCTGCTGAAAGGCGGAAAAAAAGCAGCTCAGCAGCAGAAACTGAACCTGGGGGGTCGGAGGCCCACCGCGAGGAAGTGTCGCCGGGTCGTAAATCGCAGCGTGAGCGGGAGGCAGGAGGCGAGGGGAGCGCGGGGAGGGGGAGCGGGCCCTCAGCGGCTCGGGGACTCGGGGCGGCCGCGCGCGAGGAGCTGCAGGCCGGCACGGGGCCAGCCCGCCTTGGGGCGGGAGGGCCTG